TAAGAAATCAATCTTGCCAGTCATGACAGGTTGCCATGCATAAGAGGAATATGTGAAGCCTTCCACACCAATCTGGGCTCCGTCGCTCTGGACTAGAGAGCTTGCGTGGTCAGTGACCGGAATATCGGTCCGTGCGCTCTCAGAACTCAGTGGTGCAACCGGGTCGAGTGGCACCTCAACATCTTCGATCGGGTTGATGTCCTTGCGGACCTTGCTGATGTTGACCTTTAGAATTCTGGTGCTTAAATCGATACCAACCATACTGCCGTCAGAACTAATGACCTTGCCTTTGATCCATTTACCACTATGGGTTCCATCAGACTTTACCTTGGATTTATCATCTGTCCAATAGTAGATCTTATCACCAGGATAGAATGGACCATCACTCAATTGAAGTCTTGCGGAAATGTCTCGTCTCAAATCGTCTGATTGTTTTGCTTCTAAGTAAGACTTCATGGCAAGTGTTCTGAGGGCATCTATGTTTTTCTCAGGAGAAGGAAGTGAAGCTGTAAGCTGTTCCGGTGTCATGTTCTCTGGATACAATAGGTCTGCAGGTCGCCTTCCAAATGCCATCGCCAATGGAGATACTCCACCAAAAGTAACCATGGAGTTCCTGGCAAGTGATGCTTGTCTGAGGAGTTGACGGTACGTGATCTCGTATCTGGATGGATCCTCAGTCACGGCCTTAAGCATCAGGGTGATCTGCTTTTTGTACATGCGAACAGCTGCTTCAGCTCTATTTGGCCACGGAGTACCGGGTCCTAAAGTAATTGGTCGGATATTCTTCCTATTGTAAAAGGATTCAAGTTCGGTACCCATGAAACCTTGATCACCGACAAGATACTTGGGATTCAACTGGTATGTCTCAAAGTACTCCAAAAGATGGCCAATCGTTTCTGCTTCAGTCTTGCCGTTACAGACGTAAGCAGTGGTCATAGAAGTAGCGCCGTCATAGATAATCAGGAAAAGAAGTTTGGACTTGTCGTTGATAGCTAGTTCACCATGATCAACAAAGGTGAGTTCTCCAAACGTTTCACTTCTCATACCTGAAATTCTTGATCTTGAAGGTGCAATTTTCGACTTCTGACATGTGTCACACTGCTTAACTACCTTCTCGTACTCTTCATAGATCTTAGCAGGAATCTTCAAAGCTGAAGTACGTTTCTTCTGCAATGCTAGCGGCAATGTTACAGAAACCTTCGGCGCTTTCTTCTCTCGATGAACTGTTGTTGGTATTGGTTTCACGTCTTCCTTTGATTCTTCCTGAGGATCTGGCTTCACCGGCATGTCTTGTGCTGCTGGAGGTACGTCAGGCTTCTCGGCTCCTGAGCTCGAACTTGGAATCTTCGAATGCTCAAATGGCGTACCAAAATCAGGTGACTTTTCTGTCTTCCGGTATGTCGGAGGTGTCACCTTCTTGGCCGGTGGAGGCATCGAAATAAGCTTCGATGGCGGATCGACTTTGGCATCTCCACTTGCGACGTGCTTCTCTGGTCTCTTAGCCGGAATGTCGGCTGCTGACTTGTCTTCCTTCACTTCGGATGTCTCTGCCTTTTTGCATCCATCTTTATATGTGTGCTTACGATGCTTTCCATTGCAGGCAGGACAGGCTGCGTACGAAGGATTGATTGCAGTGAAACTGTGGTTCGGCTTACGAACCGAGCTTGCAAACATCATGATGTCTAAGACATTATGGTTCGAAGTGCTCACTGGCAGCGAAAATCGCTTCAGACCGAACAAAGGACAAGTCAAATAGTCACCGACTGGAGTATGCTCAATAGACACGCGAAGGTTCCTGAGCTGCTCAACGCTAAAAAGGATCGGAACATCGCCCTGGTCTAAGATATCTATCGCTGTTGTGATCCACCCTGTGGGTGACTGGTCGTTCTGGAAATAGATTACCAGCTTCTCTCGGACATTGGACTGTTCACCATTTGCAAATGAAAATCGACTTGACGAAGGCTCAAAAGAGAAATCAATCTTAGATGCATTGTAGTGTCTCTTACATGCCTTCACTAGACGCATAATGGCGGTCCTTGAGCCCATTGCTCTGGTACAGCCGCTGTCAATGATCACGTAGGTCGGACTGTACCTCAAGTCGATGTATTCAGAAAGCAAAGCATGGTGAAATCCATCGTCAAAGTTGACAAAAGAAGAACAGAAGCGTGGATCAATCACTTCAGAACAATCGGAATGTCGGTAGTCTGTACTGCTACCGGCAGGGTTTAGGTGATACTGTTGTGAAACATGTTCTTCACCAGTCATTTCTTTTGCACCGTTTCCGTAATACCGGAAGTCTGCTGACTGGTTCATCTGGTCAGGCCTTGGCTCTGAGCTGTGGTGCTCTTCATCTTGCGGTCTGTCCGTCTGTCCGTCCGCAAAGTATGTCCATTGTTGCCAAGTGGCTTCATTTGCCTGCCAGACATCTTCAGGATAGTACTGGTCCGTGTGGTATCCGTACGAGTCCCATGACCAACTTGCTTCATGTGCACTCCAGGTTTCTTCGGCGTTGGGATTTGGTTGAGCTGATGAAGGCTCTTCGGTGGTTGCAACATTGGATTGTTGAAAGGGATTCTGTTGCTTGCTTTTTCCTTTGCCTTTAAACGCATCTTTTCCTTTGAATCCTTTCTTTCCACCTTTCTTTCCTTTCTTGCCTTTTCCATAGAAACCTGAGTTGTCAGGGTACTCTGCATAATGTGCCCCTGCACCTTTGCCTCTACGGCTGACAAAGCCGGGTCTTCTACCTTTTCCGTGCCGCCTTTGGATGGTTTTCTGAATCTCCTTCCATGGATTCTTCTACGGGTGTATCCTCCTTTGGCTGCTAACACCCAAAATTCGGATTCTGAGAACAAACTCACAAATCCTTCTTCGCCTGTTTCTTGATCCATCACCCAGTATCCGGATTCTTCTTCCAAGTCTCCTTCATCGAGGACAAGGAAAGTGGATCTTCTTTGCCTGCGGATCGAAGGATCGGCAGTTCCTGTGGCGGTTCCGCAAAAGAGATCAAGGAATAAGCCTTTGACACCTAAGTATGTGTAATTGTTCACGTTGATCTGACGCAAGGCCATGCTGGCTACAAACCTTTCTCTTTGCTGTTCGTTGAGATCCGACTGAACTAAGAAAATAAGTGACATCAGGTTGTCAGACAATGGAAAGGTGTCACGATGTGCTTGTTTCAAGGCATCAATGTGTTCAGAACGGATTCTTTCTGCAGTTTCTCTTCTTTCTGTTGGATCTTGAATTTGTTGAAGTAGCATGTACTGCTGTTGCGAGAGGATATCAGTAAAGTTGAAATCATCAGGCTGTGGAACAGTCGAAAGATCTAACAAGCCCATGAAGGCTTCCATGACTTTCTTACTAGCGACCTCAAAACGAGCGATCCAGCTGACAAATTCTCCGTTTCCGCGCCAAGTCCTGAAGAGCTGCATGAAACGCTAAAGAAAAACATGATTTGCTCCTTTGACAAAGTATGGGCGCAACGTCTCCTTGAAATACGTAATACCGTTTCTTTCATGACGAAGCTGTTCATTGTCGAGCATCTTTTTGTAGTATTCGGCGTTTCCGGTTAGAGCGTTCTTCAATGATGGGCCTAATTTTTCGGCGCTTAATGTGGTGATGTTCACCCAGTCATCAATCAAATCTTCAAACTCGAACCAGGATGACTGTCCATCGAATGACGGAGGAATTTTTGGCGTCATCTTGACACCTGCTGTTGGCTGTGCCTCGTACGTCCGGTATGTCGAACTCGAGGACCTTCCTTGCTGATGGCGATGACGCGTGCCTTGAGCGGCGAAAGCTTCTTCTGGATCAGTTGCTTCCGACAGGCTGTCGTCATGCTCTTCGTCCGTATCTATGTTAAAGATCTGGACCATGGTCTATTTGTTTTCAGACAAGTGACTTACTTGGTTGTCCCCTGTCCGGAATATCGGACGATTCGGCACGAATGCAAAATCGACCGTTGCGAAGCAGGAGACACAAGCTCCGCTACCACTTTGAGGGGTAAGTTCCCCCAGAAGTGGCAGTTGCTTAACTGGACCTGATCGAAACACCAAGTGAGTCACACGAATGCGATCGGTGTGCGAGCGGCAGCGATGCACACCTTTTCTATGGCTGCGGATGCAGGTATTGGGCTACTAAGTCTTGAGCCAAATGAATTAGGTCGAAAGCGGACTGAAGAGCCACAGACTAATCTATACAAGAGAACAGGTGCTACACACGTATAGCGTAGACACGCCTAGGGGACCTAGGACACTACCAAACACAGGGGGCGTCAGGCTGTCGAAAAATCCGCGCGGAGAGACAAACCGTAGATTGAAACCAACACAAGCAATACTAACCAAAACAATCCGCAAAACACGCCGGCAGGCCGGCGGATTGGGATTGGTATTTGGTTGGAGGCCATCGCTATTAGGTTGGAGGCCTTCCATTAATTAGAATTGGAGGCCACATCGCTATTAGGTTGGAGGCCATCGCCATTGGGGAGGCCATCGCCATTAGGTTGGAGGCCGTCGCCATTAGGTTGGAGGCCATTGCAACGAGGTTGGAGGCCACCGCTATTAGCTTGGAGGGGCCATCGCTATTAGGTTGGAGGCCGTCTCTATTAGGCGTAGGAGGCCGTTGGTGGCCATCGCTATTAGGTTGTAGGGCATCGCTAATAGTTTGGAGGCCATTGCTATCAGGTTGGAGGCGATCGCTATTAGGTTGGAGGCAATCTCTATCAGGTTGGAGGCCATCGCTATTAGGTTGGAGGCCATGGCTAATAGTTTGGAGGCCATTGCTATTACGTTGGAGGCCATCGCTATTAGGTTGGAGGCCATTGCTATTAGGTTGGAGGCCATTGCTAT